CCATATCAATTGACCCTTTCATGAAAAATTTATCTGTAGCATGTGGTGCTGTTTGATAGTATTTTACCCACAGTAAAACTTCTTCCAAATAGTATTCAAAAAAGTATCCTCTCAAACCCTGCTTCTGCTTTATCAAGTAAGTTTGTATAATATTCTTAATTCTTTTTCATTTCAACAAATGTTCACAGCAACTTCACCAAGAGGAAGTTCCATCACAAGAAGCCACTTTATTCATAAGCAACTCCTTATTAGTTCAAGTTTTATCATGAAATTGTAACAATTCAGTCATATCCTCAGGTTCTACTTCTAGTCTATTTCACTTGATATTTCTGTCACATCTGCAATTATGTCATCAAATGAAGCTTTAAATCTCCAAAGTTACCCACGAGCGTTTCCTGAGCAGTAGATCACAGCAGTAGGCTTAAAATATTCAATCATCTATGGTATAAACAGATGTGCTGTCATCTAAGCTATGTTGTTCATTTATAGAGGACAGGTAGAGTAGAATTAGCATAATTCTTAAGGGCCCTAGGATTTTCAGAATAGTAAATGAGCTTTGGCTTCACCTTAAAGTCACCAGCTGCATTAGTTCCTAACAAGAGTTATCAGTTTGACCTTTGACATTTATTTTTATTGGACTTTAATTTTTCTCTAGCTATAAAAGCCCTAAATGATATCTTCCAATGTAAGACTGTTTCATCTACACTGAAAATCTCTTGCTTAGAGTAGCCACCTTTATTAATTATAAGCAATCAGACGCACACATTTATCCATTAATATCGCCATCTTGTGGCATCCCCAAACAGTTGAATAGTAATATCAGTGATGACTGGTTACAAATCACCATAACAGATATGATAGTGTAAAATTTTGAAATATTTTGAAAATTACTAAAGTTAAACATGAAATGAGCACATCTGTTAGAAAAATAATACTGATAGACTTGTTCAATACAGAATTGCCACAAACCTTCACTTTGTTAAAAGCTTAGTATCTCTGAATTAGGGAGAAAAATAGAGAAGTAGGACATTCCGGAACAGAGAAATGGTTTATTACCTGTTGATGATAACATATATAGTATTCTCAACTGGACTGGTCTGAGATGTATTTCATGCTGGGTAAAAATCTCTCTATAAGCTAAATGATATATAGCGATTGAATGAATAAAAAAAATTTTAAGAAGAATCTAACAGCCAAAAAAAAAAAATACACAATATCTCTCAAGTGTCATAAAGGAAAGCACAGTAAATTGAGGTATTCCTATACTTATATGTATATAATTTCTTTCGGGTTAAAAAATATGTTTTGTTGGAAACCAGATGTTAGCGTAATGGCTATGTCGTAGTCGACCGCGGTTCGCGTCCCGGACCCGGTGGCTTAAAACTCACGCCGGGCGCGTGTGTGTGTGTGCCCAAGATCCTGAGAGGAGAATGGAGGAGAATGGATTGTGGCGTGACCATCCCCCCTGGGGGGTGATTTCTCGCTTTCTGTCTCTATGTCTCTGTCTGGCGAGTGCACGTGCCCTATAGTGAAAACCTCTCCAAAAATATATATATATATATATGTTTTATTCAGAAGCATCTTACATATTCAATATGTAATATGGACATCTTTTACAGTGAATACATGCACACATCCTTGATTTCTATTTTTGAAGAATTTTTTAAATTTAATTTTACTCATTGTTATTTATTTTAATTTGAGCAGAGCGCCACATAGAGAGAGAGGGAAAGTGAGAAAGCAAGCTTCCAGGTCCAGGACTTGAACCACAGTCAGCCATCTCAGAGTCCAGCATCCCAACCACCATGCCATCTGCTCACCCACATACTTGATTTCTTTACTGAATGGATGGTATTCCATGTTGTAGCATACATGACTGTTTAATATGTCTTATATTAAAGAATATTTGTCTCGATGTGTTTTGCTTTTTTTTTTTTTGAGAGATTTTCACTATAGGGCAAATGCCTTCACCAAAAAGAGACAGAAAGTGAGAAATCACCCCCCCCAAGGGGGATTGCCACACACAATCCCTCCTCCTCCATTCTCCTCTCAAGATTTCAGACACACACACACAGGTGCCTGGTGTAAGCCTCAAGCTGCCAGTCTGGGACTTGAACTGTGGTCAACCATGTGGGAGTTCAGCACCTCCCCACTGTGTTTCCTACTGATCCCTCAGTAGAGTTTTCTTAAAAATAAAAAGTAATACTCATGTATTTTTTATTGATTCACTGTTGCAGAAGTATATCTACAGGGTAAATTTCTTGAAACATGATGGGTCAAAAAGTTTTTGTTTATAATAAACCTTAATGATAATTATCAAATTGACTTGCAGAAAGATTGTGCCAACTTACACAGCTCTAATGTTTTATGAGAATTTTTTTATGCTCTTCCTAACACTATTATCAGTCATGTTTAATATTTGCATGTCATTAAGAGAGAAACAGCATAGTTTGGGTTTTAATAGTGAGTGATAAATAGCATTTTATTTGTGATGTGCAATAAGGGATATTACTTTCTCTTTGGTCTTTGCTCTAAGAAAATACTTTGTGTAAAAGTAGTTCATAACTTCATTTTATCTACTTAAAAGATTGACATAAAGGGAAAACGCAGTTTGCAACTTGCTTTCATAACAATGTAGCCATGTGACTTACTACTACCCTCAACTTCCCTTATTTCCAGGGCTCTTTGTGCCCTGTGACCACTGAAATGTTATCACTTGTCAATGTAATATTGTCCATTAATGTTCTCTTTCATTATTGATTAAGAAATAGTTAAAATAATGGGTAGTTTGTTCTCCTAGGGAAGATACTATACTGTAATGAACCCAGATGCATAATTCACTATCTGTTATTGCCATTCAGCTGTTTTACTCGGACCTACAATTCCTTATTCCCAGCCTAGTTGACTGTAGCTGAAGCATACTATACTATTATGCTCCAAAGGATTGCAACTTGAAGCAGTATGGTAAATTAGCTCAACTTCTTCAATATTACTGGACACCAGTACTAAACTCATGTCTTACCTAAAGCTGAATTGGGTATAGTGTTATCTCCTTTTAAAAGAGGAAGTACATAATAGTGTCACAGTTCAGTGAAGCCTTACAGTTATACCATTCATTGGGCTTGGATGGTGTTGAGAGTAAAATTGTTGCAAAGTTATTCTAATTTAGAGTAAAAAATACTGTGAACTCAGACCAAAAATGACAGGACTTTATATTTCATCCATAAAGGTTTGTTTCAGTTAACATTTAGCATATTTTATATTAAAGAAAGCCTAAGAAGAGTAGCTAAATGTAATTATAGGGTTTTTAAGTGATTTATATAAATAATTTGATTTTTATAAATTTATGTACATTCTTATCCAGTGTATTGAATTCCTGCTTTGAATATTGACTTAGTAGATACAACATATGCAAATACCTTCACAGATTCTGGCATATTTTACAAAGGTGGAAGGCAGATGTTTTTTCTGACACTACTTATAATTAACTCTCACATAGATATGTGCAAATGCAAAAATTAATTCTTAGTCTAGGCATAAAAACTTTTTAAGATTGGGCCAGCAGGTGGCATAGTGGGTAAGGTGCTAGACTCACGTGGTTGACCACAGTTTGAGTCCCAGACACGGCAGCTTGAAACTCATGTGGGGTGTGTGGTGCATGTCTATCCAAAATCCTGAGAGAAAAAAGGAAAAGAAGGGATTGTGGCATGGCCATCCTCCCTGGAGGGTGATCTGTCACTTTCTGTCTCTCTCTCAGGCGAGCATACATGCCCTATAGCAAAAATTTCTCTCTCTCAAAAAAAAAAAAAAAAAAAAGTAAAATGGTTTAATTGGTTATTTCAAATTCACAAGGAGACTGGTGAATAATTAAGCAACCTGCTAAGAAAGTGGTTTTTGTTATTTTCTTTGAACATTAAATTAGGATACCAATGTATTAATAAAAACATCACGGAGTAAGGAGACATTTGTGGTGAGATTGAATAAGAAATCTGGATTTCTAGGTTTCTTTTCCCATGTAATTGTAAGTTTCCAAATTTCAACCTGAATTTTATGTTGTAATGCTGCATTTGTTTATAATTTCTTCAAAGTGTTAATGTATCATAATTTTTTCTTAAAGTGCTTTTTTTTTTTTTTTTTTTGAGAGATTTTCACTGTAGGGCGCGTGCGCTCGCCAGACAGACAGAGACATAGAGACAGAAAGCGAGAAATCACCCCCCAGGGGGGATGGTCACGCCGCAATCCCTTCTCCTCCATTCTCCTCTCGGGATCTTGGGCACGCACGCACACGCGCCCGGCGTGAGTTTTAAGCCACCGGGTCCGGGACACGAACCGCGGTCGACTACATGGGAGTCCAGCGACATAGCCATTACGCTAACTGCTGGTTCCCTTAAAGTGCTTTTGTATTTATTGTAAATTTTCCCATACTGATGATAGGTAGTATAAAAGACATTGCAAACAATAAACTTTTTTTAAAAAATAAGACATAGTGCTTTAGTCCTTCTTTTTTTTTTTTTTTTTTTTTTGAAATTTTTTTTTTAATGTACTTGCCAGAAAGACAGAGAGAGATATAAAGTGAGAAATCACCCCCTAGGGGGGTGGACACACCGCCATCCCTTCTCCTCCATGCTCCTCTTGGGATCTTGGGCACACACACACGTGCCTGGCATGAGTTTAAGCTACTGGCTCTGGGACTCGAACCATGGTTGGCTACATGGGAGTTCAGTGACATGGCCATTACACTAACTGCTGGTCCCGTTAGTCCTTAATTTTGGTGCTACAGTCATATTTTTTAAATGTAGAGAAGTGACTATAAACCCAGACTGATTTTATAACATTAAGTAAGGAAAATTAGAAACTCTGTCTGGAACAAAGCTAAGTAAGGTTTAATTAAACACTTTCTATGTAGCTAGCAAAAGGAATTTTTCTTAAGATGCTGGTTTAGGGGATTTATTGCTTATCTAGAAGATTTGACCTTGTGAATTGACTTATTCTTCTCCAAGGCACTTGAGAGAAAAGACAACGATAGCAGTTACATCTAGAGGCTATTATGGATTGGAGGATGAGAAGGGAACTGCATGTACTTCAACAAGGCGTCGGTCAACACCACGAAGTTTGGCAGGCTTGACAAGTGGAGTTTTTGAATCTATAATGGTTCAAGTTTTGAGACAGGAAGAACAGCTGAGAGCAAAAGAAGAAAAAAGGTAAATGTTAAATAAAAATTAAGTTTCATAATGTTCAAATTTCCAGGAATTATTTTTCAAAGAATAGCTGCTTTTATGTGCCCATGAAAAATTTTTGGGCCTATTATGATACTGTTCCAAAATGCATTATTATCAAAGAATGAATTCATATTGAAATAACACTATGAAATTTGTTTAAAAATATAGTTTTAGATTTTAAAACACATTGCCTTGGAGCTATACAAAGTGTTTTTCTTAAAAAAATTTTTCTAGATTTTTAGAAATATTCTTAAATAAATTATAACTTTGAAGGTAGAGGAGTTTCATAGAGATTTGGAGTTTTACATCAAATCAGACCTTAAAAGAATTAGGAGAAACTCCAGAGGTTATAGAGTTTAAGAATGATGTATAGGTCCAGCCCTGGTAGCATAGGCAGTTATGGCAGTGTTGCATGATGCTGGAGCCTTACAGGAATGTCTGGGATTTGAATCCCAGGTGAACCTCACCATGCAGGGGTGCTCATGATTCTGGTGACTGGAAGGCAAGAGAGGGTGGAAGACTGTGGCATGGCAACACCCTGTCAAGGGTATTGTCTTACTTTCTGTCGGTCTCTTCCTCTCTGTCTTTCTCATGAAAGAAAGAAAAAAAAATGAATAACAGAAAATTTTTTTCTCCAGTTCCTTCATTGGTACTAATTTTCTCGATAACTGGGTTTATTCTAATCTCATCAGAAAAGAATATGGTCCCCATTTGGTTATACCTTCTAAGGTCTAGTATTATAGAGTGATAACACTTATTTAACATTTTATTTATAACAAAAGAGAATCAGGGTCCAAAGACATAATTGTAAGTAAAATTTCTATACCAGCAGAAAAAAAGACTGAAATTTTTATACTATTATAAATCAAATCTCAAACTATGATAGGCTGATTGCTGATGTAATAGGGATTTACTAATTCTAGTCGAAGGTAATTTGTAATATTTTGTTGCTCTTCTTATAGTAATACATGTAACTTGCTTTGATATTGTGGTACTAAAACTCAGCCTTAAGACTTACTACCATCACATTTTTTATAGCAGTGGTCAGTTTATTAACTCATTATTAAGTACATTTTTTTCCTTGTGCAGAGCCTCATAGAATTACTCCTACAACAGGAAAGAGGGATTTATGGAAAGAGATTAAAAATTAACCTGACACTAGTGGGCAGTAGATTAGAGTAGTGAGAACTGAAGAAAAGGAAGACTTGCAGAAAAACTGTACTTCTGTTAACGTCCACTAGAAATAGGTAGAGGTCACATTGTCTTGGGAGCAGTTAACAGGACTTGGTCTTTATCAGGGAGATCAAAGGAAGAGACAGTAATGAGTCAGAAAGGGGCAAGCAAGTGGCATGGAGGTTAAAGTGGCTAGATCCCACATGGACAACTGTACAGTTTGATTCCTGGACCCAATGGCTTGAAAATGACTCTGGGCACTTGTGTACCCAAAAATCTCAGCAGGAGAGTGGAAGAGAAGGGATTGTGGTGTGGCCATCTCCCCTGGAGGATGATTTCTCACTCCCCCTCCCCCCTATCTCTGGTGAACACACATGCCCTACAGCAAAAATTAAAAAAAAAAAGATAGAAAGTAGTAGTCATAATAGTAACAACAACAACTAAAAGTGAAAGTTAATGTTTATTGAGCATGACTGTTTGCTCTAAGACTCTTCCATATGTTCAGAATTTATCCTATGGCACAGAGAAATTAAGTAATTTTTGCCCAAGGTGTGTTTTGAATGTAAAGAATATTGGCACCTAAGCAATCTGGTTCTAGAGCTTGTCCTCCTAAGCACTGTTGCATCTATGTGACTAAAAATGGTAAAACCAGAGAAGAAAATAGAAGAGCTTAGAAATATGAATTCAAAGTAGAGAAAGAGCAGTGAATTAATTTTGAATAAGTTCTTTAAAGTGATGATAAAAACATTTAAGCGTCTAAGTAGAAATAACTAGTAAGAAATTATAATTGACCCTTGAACAACACAGGTTTAAACTGCTCAGGTTCGCTTACATGTGAATTTTTTTCAATAAATGTATTGGTAAATACAGTACAGTACTTTAAATGTATTTTCTTTTATGATTTTTAAAATATTTTTCTCTAGGTTACTATGTTATATATACATAATACATGTAACATGCAAAATACATATTGACTATTATCAGTTATCAGGAGCATAAGTCTTCCATCAACAATAAGCTATTAGTTGTAAAGTGTGGGAGAAGTCAGAAGTTATACGTGGATTTTTTACTAAACCGAATATGAAGAAGAGCGTGTGGTGTGACACGCCTAACCTCTGCACTATTCAAGAGTCAACTGTATAAATATAACTGAATTTCTTTTCCTTTCTTCTTTCTCAAATTTTACATTTGTTTAAGTATGCACTAACATCAAATAAATAGAGGAGAATAAGCCATGGGAGGTCAATCCTCCACTAAACGTCTTAGTAACTATTTAATAGAGTAATATGAATTAAGCTCTTTGGACATATTGTTAACTATTCCTTTCTTAGTTTTAAAATATTTAAGCAGAGAGCAAAGAATAAAATTATAATAGGGTTCTATGTACCTACAACCCAGCAGTTGTTAAAGAAATCAAGCATCGGTATAGTCATTCCCTATACTTTTCTTCTGTCCTAGAAGAAGACACTATCCTGACTTTGTCTGTCATTCCCATGCATTTTATTATGAATCATAAGAATTCTTTGTATATTATGGACACAAGTCCTTTTTCAGATCTATATGCCTTGCAAATATTTTTCTCAGTCTGCGGTCTGCCTTTTCATTTTCAGTGTTGTTTTGAAAAAGAGAAGTTTTTACCTTTACCTTATAAACTTATCATTTTTTAAAAAAATATTTGTGATGCAACAAATCTTGGCTTACTCAAGGTTATAAAAATCCTCCTTTTTTCATAAATTTCTCAGTTTTAGTTTTTATGTTTTATCATTCATTTGAATTATTATTTCTCATTGTGTGTGAAATAAGGATAAAAGGTTTGTTTTTTTACCCCCTCATGGATAACCAGTTCTTCCAGTATTATTTGTTGAAAGAAACTGTTCTTTCACCACTCAGTTACCTTTGCATTTTTGCTGAAAATCAGTTGAATATGTATTTGTGAGTCTTTCTGGACTCCATTCCATTCCATTTATCTATATATCTATTTTTTTTAAGAGAGATTTTTTGCTATAGGGCACATGCATTCACTGGAGAGTCAAGAGAGACAGAGAGATAGAAAGCAAGAAATCACCCCCCAGGGGAAGAGCCATGCCACAGTCCCCTCTCCTTCATTCTCCTCTTGGAATCCTGGGCACAGAACGCACATGTGACTGACATGAGTTTCAAGCCACTGGGTTCAGGACATGAATTGTGGTTGACTACGAGGGAGTCCAGTGAGGGAACCGTTACTCCATCCACTGGTCCCTCTGTAGGTCTCTCTTTATGTTGGTACTATATTGATTACGATAGATTTATAGTAAGGCTTGAAATTTGGTTAATGTGAGTATTCCAACTTTGTGTTTTGTTTTTTCAAAATTTTTTGATTACACTAGGATCTCCATGTTTCTATGTAATTTTAGAATTATATTGTAAATTTCTACAAGGGAAAATAAAAAGCCAGAGGGAATTTATTTTTTCATTTGCCAGAGGGTACATGTGCTTGCCACAGAGAGACAGAGGGAGAATGGCAAAGTGAAAAAATACCCCTTTTGGGGAATAGTCCCATTGCAAACCCTTCTCCTCCATTCTCCCTCCTTTCAGGATTTTGGACCATGCTGGCATGTTTCTCAAGCTGCTGGGTCCAGACTCAAACTGTACAGTTGGCCATGTGGGATTGAGCCACCTTAACCACCATTCCACAGACTGGCCCTAGCCTGACAGAAGTTTGACTTAGAATAAACAGAAGTTATCAATCAATTTCTGAGTAATTGTTTTCTTTAATTTCTCTAAGCAGTGTTTTGTAGTTTTCTGTGTATACATGTTTCACATATTTGACTTTCTACCCATATATTTTATATGCTTTTGATACTACTGTAAATCATTTTTATATTTAACTTATAATTATTTATAGCTAATATGTGTAGAAATACAATTTTTAGTCTAGTAGCTTCTCTGAGTTCTGGCAGATTTTGCTTCATGTAATTTGAAATTCTACATTTAAATATGTACAGATTTTATTAAATTTTTTTCTTTTTTTGATGTATTGGATTCTTTCTTATTCTAAGTGTTTCTTTTTATTCCTGGTAATATTTCCTACATTAATTTAATTTAATTTAATTTTTTTTTTTTTTTTTTTTTTTTTTTTCCCAGGGGGGGCTAAACTCTTC